TGTGCAGCACATTTTATGGAGGACCGTTTCCTGATCCTGGTAGAGTAGACTACAATGCTGGCTGTTCTGACTCACAGACTGTAAGTAAGCTTTTTATATTTAAAGAGTTTTTATATTTTTTATATTTAATATTAGTTTTTTGGGCAGTGTAGAGTAGGGCTTGTTGTTTGTCATTTCTCTGATCACAAATGCAGACACAGTTTTATGTTTACGCGGCGCGATGCAACGCAACGCGTAAAAAGACAGTTTAAGTCATTATAATCCATAATTATGTCCCCACTGGATGCAACGAATGCCTCGTTTATAATGGGTTTTCATGTTTTTGAATCATCGCCTGACAGGGCATTGTCACAATATGGTGAGGGGCGTAACATTTCCGTCACATGCTTGAGGTATTCGGCCAATCACAACGCACTGGATAGCTGGCCAATCACAGCACACCTTGCTTTTCAGACCGATGAGCTTTGTAAAAATGTACGTGTTTCAGAAAGGCGGGGCAGAGGACAAACAATAATGTACAGTATGTGGAAAATGTTTTTTGAACCTTAAACTGCATAAACACATTTCATTACACTAAATACACAAAATAATGTGCTTTTTTAGCAACATCATATGACCCCTTTAAATCTTTTTGAAGAAGGTATATTAGGCATTTAGTGTTTTATGCATTATAACTAGACAGATATTGCTTTAATCTCATTTACAATGCCACTCTCAGCCAGCCTGTCGCCTTATCATCGACTGCAGCCTCAGTTCATGTGTGCCTGCCAGTCACAGCAGTGAAACCTGACCATTCACATGCTTCCCAGGAACAACAGATACTGACCAGGATCACTCTTATGCACTGATATGAATCTCACACAAACTTGTCCAGCCATATTTATTTAATTTTAATAATTTATAATTTATGCATTTAGCAGACACTTTTATCCAAAGTGACTTACAGTGCATTCAGGCTATACATATTTCACCCCAAAACACTAACCCTAAAATAAAAGGCATTATATTTTGCATGAAAAGAAAATGAATCCAATTTCTGTACCATTGTAACATTAATGGAATTAAGCACATTTATCAAATGATTATTATAATTTAAATTTTTCGTACTGCAATACAGTATAATTTTTTTCAACATTAAGGACAGTACAACAAAATACTACATTGATGTATAAATACTTAGCAATTTTAACGATTTAGTTATATATAGCAAAATAGATTTGAGTTATATAACCCAGGCATTTTCACCCTCTTAGGTCATCTGCTGATTGAGAACTTCGTTCATTGTAACAAGACAATATGAAAGTCACAAGGAAAGCAGCAGTCTTTTCTTGAACAGTTCACCGAGGCATGTCAAATTTTCATTGGACACAGAAATGGTAAAATTCTGAAGTAAACAATACAGGTTGTGTTTATTTGACATAAATTAACATACAAGTACAGACAGAGTGTGAAAGGACATGCTCAACAAAATGTTTTGATAATAGTCGGCTACATGTTCTGGACACGTTTCACACTAGATATGCGTTTATATATAAGATAACAGTATGGCACAATACAACAGAAGTATCAAAAATGATACTAAAAGTATTTTCCCACACACACAAAAAGCGTAGTGCTTTTTAAAGCCCCCATAAGCAGAGTACACAATTTTGGTCAAGTGTGTTTGTGTTTGAGCATTCACACTGCAAGTGCAACTGTATAAAGAGTGGTGCTTCACTATGTCTTATTACAGAGTCGACTCATGAACTTACTATTGAATTAAATTAATGCTTAAGGCATGAAATGAAGCAACAAACTATAACTCTGCATTCTGAAAGACCTACAGCAGATGAAATCTGTCTGCATACTCTAAAAACAAACCGGACACATCATTTCCATGACCTAATACTACAAGTGCACTTTTGTCAGTTTAGTTTTTTTTAAGGCAGGCAGAATTTGGTCTGACTTCTTTTCCCCCTGGAATGTTTTCCTCAAATTGACTTGTTACATAAATACCAGACGGTATTTTCAGCGTGACGATATGACTGCCAACTCAGTTCACATTAAACAATTTCAGCTCTGCAAAGCATTTTGTCTTTCTCAAGTATTTTTATAACTTACTGTGCCCATTAAAAGTAATTTGTTGGAGCAAATCATCATTGACTTTATTGACATGACAATGTAAACTTCTAGTAGCCCACAAGAATAACATTCAATAGGCCTTGTCTGAAAAATGGACAAAAACAAGTGACAGTGCATTAAATTACACATGCAAAACCTTCAATGAAATACAAGCGCGCAGTGAGTCTTGCTAAAGCGTCTAGATTTCACACCCAAGCTAAAAATACTGCACTACATATAGGCCTAGTACGAGCGATACGTCTGTAACTGCTTTAAAATGAATCCTTTTTTGGGACGACAATTCTGCAGGCTGAGAGATTACAGTATTATAGATTCACTATTAAACACAGACAAACTACTGTATATGTGGTGCATCGCATTTTTTATTATTTTTTTTACTTAAAGGGAAATGAACATTCAGTCATCATGTACTCACCCTCACTTGAACCGTTATCACTTGCTTACTTCTGCTAAACAGTGACTGATGTGCTGTTTTCATACAGTGAAAATCAACAAAGTCCATTGCTGTTTTGAACACCACTGGCGTTCACTGTATGGACAAAAGCAATTCAAAATATCTGCTTTTGTGCTGAAGAAAGCAAGTCTTGCAGGTCTGGAACGACATGAGGGTGAGTAAATGATAATAAAATGTTCCATTTTTGGGTGAACTATCACTTTAAACTGAAGCTCAAACATACATGTATATTATAAGAGCTGGAAATTGCAGTTAAAGATACTCTGGCAGCTCTGATTTATAATGGATCCAAGACCAACTAATTTGGTCTCATTATCTGTGGCACACTTATCGATCCAGGATGGCACCGCAAAAGGAAGAGAAACCGGCAAATGATATTAAAGCAAGCCACTCCATGACATCCATTTTTGTGTATTTAGAAACATGGAAAAAGAAAATTGCACTTAAAAACACGTCCAAATGACCTACAGCCTAAAGAAATACAAAATAAATAGCCCTTGCGGTTGAAATTTTGTAAACGTGCGCCGTTTTTTGCTGTAAAGCCTCCTCAATTTCTACAAGAGTAATCCTTCCACCAGGTAACAGGCATTTCCTCTCAGAATAAAACAGAAAATAAGCCCAAAAGACTCAAGAAGGAGTTTTAATGTGCTTGAAAGCTTGAAGAGTCAACAAAGAGCATCCCTGGATCTCACACCGCCTGCAGGCCTCGCTCATGGCCGTCCAGCTGCACCTTGATTTTGTGCAGTTCCTCGATTTCCTGATGGTGCCGCTCTGTTTTGTGTCGCACTAGCGAGCGGTAGAAGTGAATGGTGAACACCACAAAGATCAATCCGACCGGCACCATGATGATGGTGGAGGCCAAGGCCGCCTGCCAGCCGCTGTGGCCGGGCTGAACCGTAGACGGGCTGCTGTTCTGCTTGAGGGCTGACGCGGATTGCGCCCCAGAGTCAACCGGCAAGAACTTTATCCAGCAGAGGAGCACCACCTCTGCCAGGAACAAAAGGATCCCCAGAGCGGTGGAAAAGCCCCAGGCTAGCTCAATATAGAGGTGCATCCTCTCGTGGGGAGACTCGGAGACGGAGTTGAGATTGTGGATGTTGCTGACGGCTTCCACATTGGGCAGGATGCAGGTGCTGATGAGGAGGGCGAACAGGTGGACTGCCACCAGCACTGTAGTACATACACTAAAGGCAATGAGCAGGAACCGTGGGTAGTTATACTGCATCTCCAGCTGCACCTCCACCATGGCCACCTGGTCACAACCACATTATAAATAATAATGAAAATGTAACTGGTAATATTACATGTGAACCAAATGGGCTCAACTAACAGTAGGGTTCCTGAAGTAAAAATCCCATTAATTTTGTCCACAGAGAATTTTTTTTATGACAATGTAAAAAGGTAGATCTACCTTGAGCTCTGAAGTTGTTAAAGAATGATAAATACTACCATTTTTTTAAATAAACAATTTTATTCAGCAAGGATTGATTAAACTGATCAAAAGTGAAAGTAAAAAACTGTTACAAAAGGTGAGTTTTTTTAAATATATAATAACAAACATAAAAGCTGTTCTTTTAAACTTTCTATTCATCAAATAATCCTGAAAAAAAGTATCATGTCCCCCCCCCCAAAAAAAAAAATTCAGCAGCACAACAGTTTTCAACATTGATAATAATAGGAAATGCTTTTTGAGCGAATCAGCATATTACAATGATTTCTGAAGAATCATGTGACACTGAAGACTTCAGTAATGATGCTGAAAATTCAGCTTTGACATCAGGAATAAATTACATTTTATTTCACAATAATAATTTCACTATGTCTAATCAAATAAATCTAATAAATGCAGACTTGGTGAACATACAAGACTTCAAAAACATTTTTAAAAAGTCAGCGTCATTTTTAAAATAAATAAAGTGTTTATTTGCACAATACCCAACAAAAACTACTACACTACCCATAGCCCCGAATAAAAACCCACCAATTAGAGATGTTGTTGTTACAATGGAAATTGAGCTCAACAGCTACTGCCCACTCCCATGAATCACTGCAAACACTGCAGTCGGCCTACACTCTTGTTTATGTCTGAATAATGTGCGATAAACTAAAAATAAATTGTTTTATACTTCAGTAAATAACCATAAATCACTTATTACGGATTCTGTTGAGTCCTATAATAAAAGTGATAGAATTATTCCAGTATTTTGTTTGCTTCAAATCAAAGTTTGTTCTGTTACGATTCATCTCAGAGTGGGTTGCTTTCATAACCCTTTACTGAAGAATGTTTGAAATCCCTACGGAGAGCATGAATGTGAAAAATACTTCCGGTCAAGTGAGTGGTCACTGTTATCTAGGCCAAAAGTGGTTAGCAATACAAAGTTGCACCGGACAATGATTCAAGACAATCTTATCTCCAAGCCATCTGATGCTTCTAAGAATTTCAACAAGCCACACCCTTTGTTTGACCTATAGCAACTGTTTCCTGATACATTCACTGAAATATAATCCACAAAAGTGTGTGGCCAAGAGTCACATACATTTGTCAGCTCACACTTATCACAGAATGTAATATACTCACCATGGCAAAACCAGACAGCAGGGCTGAGGTTCGGCTGGAGGCTTTGAGCTTGGCCCTGCTGAGGTAGAGTTTCCTCCATGAGAGAGCCTGGACCGAGTGGTGGTTAGAGGTGACCAACTCCAGATAGCTGCGGCGAACCCAGTCCCTGTAGTCCATCCCGCCACTTTCCTGCAGCCGGTCTGAGCCCCCGGGCGTGGGGGAGCCCATCGGCACATTGAGCTCACTGCTCATAGTAACTGTGTTTGCAAACATAATATTCACTTTTATGTTTAATATAAGTGCGGTGCAGCCTTTTGTGACTTGACTGTGTGAGGCTTCCAGTGTCAGTCACTTCTAGTTATTTTAGTTGTACAATAACAGTGTTATGCGGCTTGATATTGCAAAATGGTATTTGTTATCATATTAATGTATTATCCTAATGATAAACATTCTGCATTGTAGTGCATATAGTTTTACAGCTTACTGCACTCTGTTAGTTAACTAGAGCGGATAATGAATTGTAAGTCTCACACATTCACCAAAAATTGTTTATGTCTGCATTGAAATATAAGAATGTAAAAATGAGGATGTAAAAATAAGTACTCTTACATTTCACAACAAGTACCAAAAAGGGACCAGATAGAGAGGTGTGATGTTTTTATGTTTTTTGGGATCTGTATATCATGATAATTCCATTGTATTCTTTTTTTAGAATCTTGTACATACCATGGTATATGAATATGTCAATGATTCAGTGGCATGGTATTACTATCCGTTACAGAAGATCTAGACGTGATATCAAATGGTAGAAATTACTTTATAAATCTGAAACATACCTGATTGGCCTTGCCCTGCTTTAGGACTGGTTTTCATCACACATCTCTGGTTAAATAGAAAATTAATATGTCAAGTAATTAGAAATTACAACTAACAGTTAGAATTAATAAATGCTGAGAATGAGCAAAGATAAATAGTATGTTAAAAATAGCATAACTGAAATTGAAATACATGTGTGTTCTGCTTGTCTTTGGGCTCTATGGTGCTGTACGCATTCACAATACACGGTCGATCTTCAAAATCGTTATATAAACAAGAATATATATATATTTAACTGTACCAATGATATTTCCATAATATTTTAGATATGCCCTGTTTCTCAAGTCAGAGCATACAGTGGAGCCACAATACATTTCATATGCTTTCCACATTCCTACAACAGCGTGTGATTAGTTATAAATATGAATGTAGCTGCTGTGTTTGTTATTTAAACATGCAGTAAATGAGCACCACATCAGACGCCAGTGACCAAAATAAAACTGCATGGGGAAAAAGGGGTTATTAGTGAACAGCCGCTGTCTAAACAAGGTGTGTTTCTGTGAGGTCGACTTATTAACTTGCAAATCGGAGCACAATGAACGCCAGGCCACAGATGTGTTTTCAGCACACACAACTTCCCTTCCTAACCACCAGCAGTGACTGAAGCACACAATAAGAAAGCATCGCCGATCACACATGCACTGTACTGAAGTCTTCTTTGCGCTCGCATTCAACTCACCTTTGCTGCCAGTCACTCTCTGTGCTCACATCCACATGACGGCCGACAGAAAGGGGATCTGCGAGAGAAAAGGACGTTGACCGCTCTAGTCTTTTCCGCTCTGGCGAGGTCCGATTCCTCAGCGAATCGTTCTTAAGAGTCGGATCTTTAAAATGTATCGGTTGAACAAAACAGGTTCACGAATGGTTTGTTCACGATTTGGACAGAATCAGTCTGCGCGGTTCTCGAGTCACCAGTTCACTGAGAACCGCCTCAAATATGACTCATAACTATAAACTCAAAGCCAAATTATATATAATAAAATATCTGCTACAATATAATACAAAATCTACTGGAACTACGCCGATGATATAACTACACTTTTCCTCAACCCATATAAAAAACGGGTTTAATAAATATCGATGTAAATGAATTTTACTTAATGTAAATACAAATTATATTTAGGCTCTTATGACTTTTTGAGCTGAAGCTTGGCTGCATGGACACATGAAATACCATTATTTTACCAACTTAATTGATAAAAACATATTAAACAGCAAATGTGTTCATGTACATGACTTTATTTCAAAGTTTAGAGCATGTAACATGCCACTCAAGGATGTCGGGGACCATGTGAGGACGTAATTGCGTGCTTGAGATAAAATAATCACTGAATCAGTTGAACCGGTTCTTTGAATAAAATCATTCGAAAGAACCGGTTCGCGGTTTTGAATCGGGCTTCTGTAGCTGTCACGTGGTCTCCCCTGTGCGCTCTGCATGCATCACGTGATCTGGGCGTCGCAATTTATGCTTTTAAATGAACTTAATTTTAGTTAAAGCATTTTTTCATGCCATTTTATGTCCTCTCTTCAAGTTAATTCTATAAAGTCGGGGTTTTCCCCCAAAGGCATGTCAATCAATCCAGAACGCAAAATGAGTGACAGGCAGAAAGCGTCCTCTGATTGGCCAGTTTAATAGTGGGCCGGCCCCCTTACTCCTCCTTTTTCTGTTCACAGATGCTTTGTTCGAAATGCAATACTCTTACTATTTCTGCAGTATCCAGTATGTATAATATGCATAGTATGCAAACTTTTTTTATGCATGGAATACCTGGATGACCTACTATATTTGCAATCTGCTAAATACACACTGAAATCAGTACAGCAGCTGTGTTTAGAATGACATACTACCATACAACTCTTACTATATTGCAGTATGCAATGAATCTGTACTGTATAAATCGCTATAGCTATAAAGGTGACGTCATTTGACTTGATTCTATTATGTACTACAGATTGTTTCAAAGATATTAAATAATAATATTGCTGTAATATCATTTCTGTCAGGACCACTATAGTCAAAATGATAGATACTTAGAATAAAGTTTGGTTTGGCGGTATGGTTCTGTTCTGGGCAAAGGCCTCCCTGCCCATCCATGCAGCCTGTCTTGAATGAGCAGGGAGAGCAGCAATAATAACCCCCCTAGGGTTAACAGAACAGAACAAGGCAGATATCATTAATGTACTTAATGATATTTAAGTGTAACACTTTATTCAAGATAAAGGAGTCTGATTAGCAAGGAATATCAGAAAGCCAAGTCCTGATTGTGGGGAAAGGAGGAGCTGGGGATGGAGGAGGGTAATTTGCTCCGAAGCAAGCTGAAAAGCTGCTGAACAATACTGAATAGAGCTTATATAGGAATGCCGCGATAGGTGTCGTATTCCTATAGGTAGATGTGATCAGCTGAGAATTGACTCACGTGACCTGCCAGAACTAACGCTAATGCTTAATATATAAATAACATAAAATATGTAAAAACAAATATTTAAATTATGCAAACAAAATTCGAGTTTGAATTCCAAGTTCGAATCCGCCTTTTGCCAAACTCGTTCGTCTCTTTTTCCCATCACATATCAGATCGCAAAGGCATTTATTTTCAATAAAAATAAGGGAATAATAATTCAGTGTTATTGATATGGTTAGCGATTGGTGCTGGGAGGGCTTCATTGTCCCAATAAGGCGGCATCCATTTAATAATATTAATAAATATGACAATTTTCACTCAATATGTCATTGCATACTGTTTTATAATGTACCGCAGTACTTAAGTATAAATATCTGCCACCTAACTACTATTTATAGCCTACTGCTAAAAAAAAAATACTGCCAAAATGTCACAATATGAACAGCATATTAAATTAAAACCAACAGAGAAAGGAAGGAAATCAAGAAAAAAAACACAAATGTTCTCATCCAAAATTTTATAATGCCCAAAAAGCTGTGTATTTGGCGACTATGTAATGCAAACTCAACAAAACTATGTAATGGAAAAAAAGAAAAAACAAAATGATCCCATCCTTGATATCATTTTGAGTGCGTCATGCCACAGTTTGGCCTTTTATATAAACAAAGAAAAATGTTAATATGTGCATGTTAGTCATTCTAAATTATCCAAAACCTACTGTACATCATTCATTACACTAACTCATCAGTATGTCCATATCGTTTAAAGTCAAAGTTAATACTCAGATTCCACCAGTAGGGGGCAACAAATCCGCAGCTCTTGAGAAAAGATAATGAGCAGAAAACAGGAGGCGGCTCCTTTTCTTGAAAGTCATTTCAAAAGGAGAGAAAAGAAAACACAGGCACAACATTACAAGAAAAAATGTTACAGATTACTTGCACTATGTATTGTGACCTCCTCCAGCAGTTCAATTAGTAATTCAATAGAACTTTTTTCATTTGGGGAAAATTTCAAATTCAGGTAAACAAATCTCGTGGCCTCTCAGTCTCAAACATATTGGCATCCTTTTAGAAAATGAACTGAACAAAATCGATCAAGAGACCAAATGTGCAGGTGGGCAGAGTGTAAAAACATCCATTCAAATATGAACATCTCTAGAACACTGTTTGCTGGAGAGAAAACAAAACAAAACTATCATTTATATTTTAGCGCTGTGCTATAACCCTAAGAGCCTTTTTTAGCAAACCATTTCAAGCATGAAATCTACAACAAACTCTTAAACTCATATGGTTAATGTAAAATGTCAAAACTCAAGACAGGTGTGAAGTAAGACCGACAACATTTTCAGAATCAGTCTTTTTCGTAAGGCAGTCGACCTCTTTTCAGAGTTCATAGAAGATTTCTGCATTCACCGTTGGAGTGAACACTGCATCTCCAAAGAGTTCAAACAATTCTCTCGCATTTCTGAAGAAAAGCAGGATATGGCTGTCTGGAGAGTGTCTTCTGCAAGCGTCTGGAGTGTAAGGACTCGTCCCACTGGTGACGATGGACAGTAACACGCTGGATTTTAATCATGAAATCACTTTGCAATCTTAAGGCTGAGAGTTTGACAGAAATCACAGTGCACTACACAAACACAACGCAGTGCGAATGCCAAGCATGACACCCATAATCTGCAGAAAACGCAGTGATACTGATGCAGTGACAGGCAATATGAGTGAAAGGACAACTGTTTAACATCTTGGCTTTGGTTCCTCTTCGAGCCTTAAAATCTTCAACATGGTGACTGACCCACAAGCTCTACAAATAGACTACGACATCAAACTCTGAAGCTCTCTCCTTTGCCATCAATGTGCCGAAGACGCAGGTAGACGTCTGTGCCGATGCCCTGCATCGACTGGATGGCCAAGGAACCTCCCAAGTATTCAGCGTACGCTCGGGACGTAGGCAGACCAAAGCCAAACCTGGAGGAGAAAACAAGTGGCATCACTGAGATGCTCTTCAATCCCATTAAACGTCACAACAGCGCATCCTAATGTATCAAAATCCTCAAATAAACCTTCAACTATGCCAAATAACTTGATAAACAACTCCAAGCAGGAAAACAAATGATTTTCATTAGAAAAAGGACTGCCAGTTGCCATCTGGTCTTCTGTAATTGTGAATCGAGACCGCTCATGGTGAGGAGTGCCGGCTTGACACTTTAGACTTACTGATCCAGATCAAACTGGTTCAATCTGGATCATGTAGAGCAGACCACTTTAGCTACTCTACTGATCTTGCAAGAATGCACAGAATCTTCAGCTGCTGCATGTGGACAAGACATAAATATTTACTTCTGAAGAGGTGAAAAGCATGTTATAATTGAAAAAAAGAGACATGATCCCAAGCAGTCCCTCAATAATTTATATAAAAACCCAACTTTTGCACTAATCATTTGAAGCAGCTTTTAATTTGAGCTTGTGCACATTTTTCTATAGGTCTAGCTCTTCTTACCCATGCATGGGTCCAGACTGGGGGCCGCTGTTGGTTATGTTGTTGAAAAGGTTGCTCATGCGGGGATCCTGTGCGCTCTGTTCAGCTGTGCTGAAGTGGTAATGCATCACCTGGTCCAGAATGCTGTGAGGAATACCACCGCCACGGTCTGAGATCCTGCAAAATGATACGAACACCACTCTGCTGCTTTAGGCCAATCAGTTTCATTTATTTGTACAATGCATATACATTATTTGCAAAAATCGTTTTAAGCTTTGGCTCCTCAAACTATTTCTATGAAAATTATCATCTGATTCTCAACCAGTTTGAAAATCAGCCTGAATGGCCAAGTGGATGTGAATTCATTACGGAGTTAACTCACCCCCTCAAGCATGTGAATTAAAATCAGTTTGAAATAATCAGCGATTGAGCATTTCAGGGTCCATTCAGTGTGGTTAAGTGAAAGGTGAACATTCGTGTCAGCCCCCATCATTTATACTTATTTAGTGTTTACGGTCTAAAGTGAAGGTAACTGCTGTTATTAAAAAATTCCCAATCAAAATGTATTACTAACAAAAACATGTTTTTACTACTTCAGTGTTATCTATATTTTTGAAGCGAAGTCAAAATGAACAAACTTGATGAGACTTACATATACTGTATATTATTACATATACAGTGGGTATAGAAAAGAATCACACCCTTTTAAAATGAGCACATTTTGTTGCTTTGCAGCCTGAAATAAAGACGGACATAGTTTTTGTTTTATCCAGCTGTATTTACTCAGTAAACTTATAACATTCAAGTGAAAGATATAACACCAACATGTCAGGAAAAAAATAAAAAATAACAACCCAGAATCACGGAGTTGGAAAAAGTATCACCCCCTTGTGTCAGTATTTTGTTGAACCACCTTTTGCTTTAATTACAACCTTCAGTCTTTTGGGATACGTCTCTACTAACTTTGCAATATTTGCGCCGGTGGAGGCGAGGTTAAGCCTCAGCGTTGTGGAGAGCGTGTGGCTGGTCGAGCAGAGCTGCTCGAGTCAATCCCATTAAACGTCACAACAGCGCATCCTAATGTATCAAAATCCTCAAATAAACCTTCAACTATGCCAAATAACTTGATAAACAACTCCAAGCAGGAAAACAAATGATTTTCATTAGAAAAAGGACTGCCAGTTGCCATCTGGTCTTCTGTAATTGTGAATCGAGACCGCTCATGGTGAGGAGTGCCGGCTTGACACTTTAGACTTACTGATCCAGATCAAACTGGTTCAATCTGGATCATGTAGAGCAGACCACTTTAGCTACTCTACTGATCTTGCAAGAATGCACAGAATCTTCAGCTGCTGCATGTGGACAAGACATAAATATTTACTTCTGAAGAGGTGAAAAGCATGTTATAATTGAAAAAAAGAGACATGATCCCAAGCAGTCCCTCAATAATTTATATAAAAACCCAACTTTTGCACTAATCATTTGAAGCAGCTTTTAATTTGAGCTTGTGCACATTTTTCTATAGGTCTAGCTCTTCTTACCCATGCATGGGTCCAGACTGGGGGCCGCTGTTGGTTATGTTGTTGAAAAGGTTGCTCATGCGGGGATCCTGTGCGCTCTGTTCAGCTGTGCTGAAGTGGTAATGCATCACCTGGTCCAGAATGCTGTGAGGAATACCACCGCCACGGTCTGAGATCCTGCAAAATGATACGAACACCACTCTGCTGCTTTAGGCCAATCAGTTTCATTTATTTGTACAATGCATATACATTATTTGCAAAAATCGTTTTAAGCTTTGGCTCCTCAAACTATTTCTATGAAAATTATCATCTGATTCTCAACCAGTTTGAAAATCAGCCTGAATGGCCAAGTGGATGTGAATTCATTACGGAGTTAACTCACCCCCTCAAGCATGTGAATTAAAATCAGTTTGAAATAATCAGCGATTGAGCATTTCAGGGTCCATTCAGTGTGGTTAAGTGAAAGGTGAACATTCGTGTCAGCCCCCATCATTTATACTTATTTAGTGTTTACGGTCTAAAGTGAAGGTAACTGCTGTTATTAAAAAATTCCCAATCAAAATGTATTACTAACAAAAACATGTTTTTACTACTTCAGTGTTATCTATATTTTTGAAGCGAAGTCAAAATGATGAACAAACTTGATGAGACTTACATATACTGTATATTATTACATATACAGTGGGTATAGAAAAGAATCACACCCTTTTAAAATGAGCACATTTTGTTGCTTTGCAGCCTGAAATAAAGACGGACATAGTTTTTGTTTTATCCAGCTGTATTTACTCAGTAAACTTATAACATTCAAGTGAAAGATATAACACCAACATGTCAGGAAAAAAATAAAAAATAACAACCCAGAATCACGGAGTTGGAAAAAGTATCACCCCCAAATAAACCTTCAACTATGCCAAATAACTTGATAAACAACTCCAAGCAGGAAAACAAATGATTTTCATTAGAAAAAGGACTGCCAGTTGCCATCTGGTCTTCTGTAATTGTGAATCGAGACCGCTCATGGTGAGGAGTGCCGGCTTGACACTTTAGACTTACTGATCCAGATCAAACTGGTTCAATCTGGATCATGTAGAGCAGACCACTTTAGCTACTCTACTGATCTTGCAAGAATGCACAGAATCTTCAGCTGCTGCATGTGGACAAGACATAAATATTTACTTCTGAAGAGGTGAAAAGCATGTTATAATTGAAAAAAAGAGACATGATCCCAAGCAGTCCCTCAATAATTTATATAAAAACCCAACTTTTGCACTAATCATTTGAAGCAGCTTTTAATTTGAGCTTGTGCACATTTTTCTATAGGTCTAGCTCTTCTTACCCATGCATGGGTCCAGACTGGGGGCCGCTGTTGGTTATGTTGTTGAAAAGGTTGCTCATGCGGGGATCCTGTGCGCTCTGTTCAGCTGTGCTGAAGTGGTAATGCATCACCTGGTCCAGAATGCTGTGAGGAATACCACCGCCACGGTCTGAGATCCTGCAAAATGATACGAACACCACTCTGCTGCTTTAGGCCAATCAGTTTCATTTATTTGTACAATGCATATACATTATTTGCAAAAATCGTTTTAAGCTTTGGCTCCTCAAACTATTTCTATGAAAATTATCATCTGATTCTCAACCAGTTTGAAAATCAGCCTGAATGGCCAAGTGGATGTGAATTCATTACGGAGTTAACTCACCCCCTCAAGCATGTGAATTAAAATCAGTTTGAAATAATCAGCGATTGAGCATTTCAGGGTCCATTCAGTGTGGTTAAGTGAAAGGTGAACATTCGTGTCAGCCCCCATCATTTATACTTATTTAGTGTTTACGGTCTAAAGTGAAGGTAACTGCTGTTATTAAAAAATTCCCAATCAAAATGTATTACTAACAAAAACATGTTTTTACTACTTCAGTGTTATCTATATTTTTGAAGCGAAGTCAAAATGATGAACAAACTTGATGAGACTTACATATACTGTATATTATTACATATACAGTGGGTATAGAAAAGAATCACACCCTTTTAAAATGAGCACATTTTGTTGCTTTGCAGCCTGAAATAAAGACGGACATATTTTTTGTTTTATCCAGCTGTATTTACTCAGTAAACTTATAACATTCAAGTGAAAGATATAACACCAACATGTCAGGAAAAAAATAAAAAATAACAACCCAGAATCACGGAGTTGGAAAAAGTATCACCCCCTTGTGTCAGTATTTTGTTGAACCACCTTTTGCTTTAATTACAACCTTCAGTCTTTTGGGATACGTCTCTACTAACTTTGCAATATTTGCGCCGGTGGAGGCGAGGTTAAGCCTCAGCGTTGTGGAGAGCGTGTGGCTGGTCGAGCAGAGCTGCTCAAGTTCAGATCAATTTGATGGGGACTGTCTGCAGTCTTCAAGTCATTCCACAGATTTTCAATGGGGTTTAAGTCTGGGCTCTGACTGGGCCACGCAGGACATTCACCTTTTTCTCCTTCAACCACTGTGTGCTTTGGGTCATTGTCATGTTGGAATGTAAACCTTCTTCCCATTGACAACTTTCTGGAAGAGGACAGCAGATTTTCCTCAAGAATTTGACAGTATTTTGCCACATCCATTCTTCCTTCTATCCTGACAAGTGCTCCAGTCCCTGCGGCAGAGAAACACCCCAGAACAAGATTTTACCACCTCCATGCTTTACTGTAGGAACTGTGTTATTTGGATGGTGAACTGTATTGGATTTCTGCCAGACATTTCGTTTGGTGTTGAGGCCAAATACTTCAACTTTAGAATTTTGCCTCCGAATCCTCAAGGTTTGTTTCGGCAAAGCTCAGTCGTGACTGCATGTGGCTTTTATCTTGCATCCCTCCCATACAAGACACATTTGTGGAGAATTTGTGATATTGTTGTCACATGCACACAATGACCACTCTATTTGTCATAAATTCCTGCAACTGCTTCAGAGTTGCTGTAGGCCTCTTGGTCGCCTCTCTGACCAGTTTCCTCCTGGCTCTTTCACCCAGTTTGGAGCAACGTCCTGATCCAGGGAGGGTCTGTGTTTTACCAAATACCTTCCACTTTTTAATAATAGGCTTCATTGTGCTTCTAGGCACAATAACGCCTTTAAAAAAAATTTGTATCCATCTTCTGACTTGTGCCTGTCCACAACTTTATCCCGGAGATCTTCTGACGGTGCCTTGCCACTCATAGTTGATTGTTTGCTTCAGCTGCACTACCAAGGACTGAAATGCTCCAGGAAAGCTCTTTTCATGCTGAGCTCATCAAAATGACCACAGCTGATCACAGCTGAAAGTCAAATGGCTTTGTGTGCCATTGAGAAGGTGATTAGCTACAACTGATTGAGTTTGCAAGTCATTTTTAAGGGCAGGTCACACTGCACTTTTCATTCCATTGACTTCCTTTCATACGCATGCGAATGCATCAGACTGGAAACGCAAGCTTGTGTGAAAAGTTTCGCATTTCTCTGCATTCCAACGTTCAAGCTTGGTGAACTCTGACCTGCGAATTCGCATCATGTGAAACCGTGTGACCAACAGCAGATGGATACGTTACAGCATGACCTCGTAGCTGAATTAAAAGAACATGAATTTAAAACTGCAGTAAAGTGTAATAGATTGTATATTTATTAGTTTTTGTTATGTGTTAAAATTACGTTTTTAAAAAGTCGCTGCAGAGTGTGACATCATATCACGACCGTTGCAACGTATGAAGAAATTTTGCACACTCAAAGTCTAGTGTGACCACGGCTTTTGGAGAGGGTGATCCTTTTTCTGACTCGGTTATTCTGTTTTTTTTCCCTGACATGTTGGTGTTATATCTTTCACTTGAATGTTATAATTAATTACAGCTGGATAAAACAAAAACTAATGTCTGTCTTAATGTTATTCTGCAAAGCAACAAAATGTGATTATTTTAAAGGGCCATTATTTCTATACCCACCAGGGTTTCTGCAGGTTTCACCAAGTCAAATTTAAGACTTTTAAAGACCTTTTTAAGACCATTAAGAATTCAATTTAAGACCTATATCACGACATGAAAAACACACACACAAAAAAAGGAAAATGCAGAATCACAAAATTCCTGGCAAAGTAAACTTATTCAAATTGAACCGTACTGAAGACAGGTTAGATGCATTGTTGAACTACAGAACTTGGCGTGAGTCTGCAGATGTGTGTGTGCTACATTAATCTCAGCTCTTCCCCCTTGGCCAGAATCTCCTCCTCAATGTTCTTGAGCTCAAAGCATTTGACTTGGTTATTAGCTCAGCCATCTTACTGCCAGCCTTGCCCTCAGCCTCTTCTGCAAATTTTTCTGCATCTCTGGAAAGACTTTCAGTGACTGTTTGTATAGTGTTCCTCTTTTTTTTAGTTCCTCCAAGTAGTCCTCTTTAAATACGTTGTTAGCAACTGGACTTAACCAAGCCCTAAATTCTGTTTTTTCAAGCCAAGTATCGCTAAACTTGCACTTCCCCATAGCTGAAAAGTAAAATCCGTTTTACGTCTGTGGTACAATCCGAGAGAAACTCGCGCCAATAACAGAAAGCTGATTGGCTGTTGCATGTTGGTCTCATTTGTAGTCGTAATACAGCGAATTATATTTAAAGAACTACAACACCATGGAAACAAACAACAACAAAAAACATTCTAAAGTGCTGCAGGAGCATTGAAATGAGCATTAGAGGTAGCGCTACATGGACATCGGAAAATTAAGACATGTTTAAAATGATTTAAGACCTAGAACAGCGAATTTAAGACTTTTTAAGGCCTACAATTTTGCTTTTTAAACAGCGAATTTAAGACTTTTTAAGGCCTACAATTTTGCTTTTTAAATTGTAGACTTTTTAAGACCCCGCGGAAACCCTGTACACTACTATTCAAAAGTTTGAGGTCAAAGATTTTAATGTTTCTGAAATTTAAGTCTAATTTTTGACAAGGCTGCATTTATTTGTTCAAAATAAAATGGTAAAAACTGTTATATTGTGAATACGGTTACAATTTAAAATAAGTGTTTTCTATTATTCATTCCTGTGATAATAATTCTGAATTTTCAGCATCATTACTCCAGTCTTCAGTCTCACGTGATCCTTCAGAAATCATTCTAATATTATGATTTGTTGCTCAAGAAACATTTTTCTAATTTTATAAAAAGTTACAAACAGTTGTGCTGTCTAATATTTTTGTGCAAACCATGCTAGTTTTTTGCAGGATTCTTTGATGAATAGAAATGTCGAAAGAACAGCATTTTTTAGAAATAGTAAAGACACTTATAATGTTATAAACGATCACGGTAACGCTTGATCAATTTAATGAGTATTTGTTGAATAAAAATTAGTGCTGTTAAAATTAACTAATTAATTGCACATTTATTTCTGAAATTAATTGCGATTAATCCCAACTAACATTAAAGTTTTTAAATATACTTTTATATTGCAATAATTTCACATTCAATCTTTAATGTAGAAACAACAAAGAAAGTATATTTTTTATATTAGGTGAGTATCACTGACACCAATACTACTGAAGTCTCTATGAAATAGTTTTTTCCTCTAATATTTAACCATTGTTTATAGCCATTCAGCATTACAGTATAATTGAAAGCTATTCATTTGAACATTTATTAGACTTGAAAAAATTACAACTTCTAATTTAAGTGAACTTAAAACAATCTTCGCATAAACTCATTATAATAAATGTAATATTTAGCTACCTGCGCCCTTCAGCAAGTAGGAAATATACAGAAATTGAATAAAGTTATCAAACACTAAATTCTAAATTAAGTAAAGATGAATCCTTAAAGTTACAAGAGTTATTGATTTCCTGATACTTTTGTTCTCGGATGAACAGACATCACAGCCACTGGGTTATTAGGTTATACTGACTGCTTTAAGAGCTGAACATGACACGCATCGTAGTTTCTCATAACTCTTGACCTTTTCTGACCCACTTCAGCTCACTTCAAGTCTCTGCTAGTGAGCTGATGAGTTGAATCGGGTGTGTTAGATGAGGGAGGCAGTGCAGGGCTGCTCCAGGACAGGTTAGAAAACCATTTCAGAGACATGTTCTTAAATCTGACTCATATATAACAAATACTTAGATGCATGTGCAGATTTAAAGCAGCTTTAATCGCCTTTTTGGTAACTTCATGACTTAACTGATGACATAACTATGACATTGCATGCTCATAGTTTCATTTGCACTTTAATATGAAATTATATACAGCGCGCGCCACTGCATTTGTGCGTGCAATTGAAGAGCACGTGCTACGAGCACAGTATAACGGCTGACAGGACAGGAAAATTCGTTTTACTGACATTTGACCCCAGTTCACTGTTGTTCTACTGAAGCTCCTCATCACCTATACCTTTTTTTCACGCTTGTTTGACTAGCGCGTGGTGCTGAGGCGAAGTTGGAGTGCGCGTCTGAAAGGTATCCCATTTGATGTGGTCGTAAAGACGTTCTGCATCTAAATAAACGCAATTCTTGTCAATAAAAAAAAGAAAAAGAAAAAGAGACAGAAGCAGCAGTTGTTGTGAGTGGGGTGGCCACCCCTAGCTCTGCCCCAGCATTAATTGCATTAAATATTTTTAACGCGTTAAACTGAAAAAAATTTATCGCATGCGTTAACGCTAATTTTGACAGCACTAATAAAAAAATCTTTCAAAAATTAAATTTTACTTGGAACTTGAACGGTAGTGTACTTACACAATCAAAGACATATACATGGGTCAAAGACGAAAAAGGGTTTAAGCATAAAAACAACAAGTGTAATACTGCTTTAAATTGTTGTTGTTTTTCCCAAAACATTTTTTTTTCAAGTTTTCGGTTTAATTTAATTGCAATTGTGTTTTTGTTTTTCCGAGCAAAAAATAAATATAACATTTTTCCCAGATTTACAGAAGAGACCCACTAAAATGTCATTCAGTGTTACAATCTTGTCAGGCATATTTACAACAAAAATCTATTTATGACATATTTAAAGACTACAATTAGTTGTAATTTTACATTTTTAAAATTTGCCACTATCCTAGGTTTTGCCCATTTGTCAGTAAGAATTTTTTACTCATTTAAAACCCAATAAAATTTAATATGCTCCCTAATTCTTTTATATATTTTAATATGTACACGTCAGAATAAGCATGTTGTTTGAATTTTTACATAAGTATTGTGTTACACTGAATGACAATGTAACATTATTTCAACCAAATTTTGACATTTTATCCTCCAAAAACTTATTTAAAACCTTAAAAGTAGACACTTTACTTGCATTTAATGTGCTTTCTATGGACATAAAACCACTTTCGTAAATTTCTTTTGATGTGGACATCTTAACTTCTTTGACCCACATACAATAACATAACATTGTTTCCTGTTCAAATTGTAAGGTCAATGATCATGTTTCATAAGCCTTTAACCTCCTAAAAACTGTGTAAACATCAAGTGGAGCATGAATTTACATTGGACCAAAAACCCAGAAACAGAGAGGACTTTGCATCCTCATTTCAGACATTCACCAAACAACACTAAAAAACAGACACGGAGGTTCATGCTTTCCATACGTTTATGGTAAAATAAACATTGCCCATGAGTAAATATGCTCAGTGTGGAAAGAGGTTTTAACCGGACTGCTGAGTTAGCACAGTGGGATAATGGCCCTGGTTTTAAAGACAGCACTCTGCATGATGAGGTCTCTGTGCAAAGAAGAGCTCAAATATCTTCACTGTTTCCAGGAAAAAGCATTAATTCCATTCTGCTGAGTTTACAGCGGACCAACCACACCTAAAACCCTAAGTGTCCATGTATTCATTCAGACAGGCAATAATCAAACACTTTCAACAAGAGATCGGCCTCAGCTCTCTTTAATTTTTGTCCTCCATACAACATAAAAACTCCACATGAATCTGATTTTTTTTAAATGTGTATTATATTGCATTTGCATGTAGTTTGAAATCCAATTCAAATCTGATTTTGAATATGATTCAATGTGAAAGGTCAGTTGGCAACTCAAATGTATTATTTAGAACTCATGTGTATGTATTGTCATACATTATCATGCAGGTGTGATGTGGTTCAATAGAATTATGGCATTAGCATTGGCTTACAGACTCACCTTATGACAAAGTCTGTGTCATTGTTGGCGATTGTGACCACAACATCAGGCACATTGTAAGGAGTGTCCAAGTGACTCTCCATGGTGGCCCTGAAGAACAAAAAGAAATTCAAATGAACATCTGATCATAACATAAAGCAGATGATAAGAAAACTCAGTAGAGGCCTGAAATAATTGTGAAAGCTTTCCTTTCTCCTCTGACTGAGAAACATAAAATATGATCAAAAGTTTTGTGAGCAGGAAATTGCATGTGACAGGAGTTTATCTAATGTACAGGAAGCATATCTCCAGTTCTTGAGGAGAAATTTTATTTCCTTTATGGTTACTAGGACATATATCTTCTGCTGATATGCACGTACTGACATACCGACATTTGAACACTTGGGGCCAGACTGAGCAAAACCCTCTTTTGCCATTAAAAAATGACTTCTTTATTTACCTGCTTGCATTTGCACTTGTAGGAGTTTCTCTTTCAGACACAAAATTCATGGGAGGAGAATATTAAAATGAATTTGAAATTAATTTGTGCATTGTCACTAAAATACCAACAGAACTTTCCACTTCCATCTGTGTTTTATGGGATTGCGATCTCACACTAATTTGCCCCGTTTAGCAAATCTGGCCCAAAAATGGTTGATTCTCATCGAGCACTTGGATTTGTTAAAAATGTGATGCTGCATTTGTTGCTTAATTCTAATCATCTGCAGCAATACTCTTCTACTGTACAGATAAGTACATCTCAGTCTATTTATTCAAAGAGTAATATTAGGTCATATTAATATATAAATATAACCTAATTAACATTCATAAGCTAAATGCAATGTTGTGAAGTCACAAACATCCAAAAATCAGTGGTTATTCTGGTGCCACTGTCCCTACCCATTTCATTACAAAATCATGCCCATGCCCAAAAACCAAAAGTTCACAGTCTGTGTCTTGGGTGACTCTCAGTAGCAGGAACTGTGCTGCTGTAAACCAACTGAGAACATGCCGTTTTCAAGTGACTGGCTGAACAGGAGTCTGATCCAAATTTAAAGAACAATGAGAACAAGATTAGAAACATGTCTCTCAATTTGTAAGACAAGCACAATACAGGTCTTTTGGAGGTATTTGAGCCAAGGCTTAAAAGCGGTGTTACTCATATTTATTGTAAAAGAATAATACTCTCCATACAAAAAAAAAATCCCATGTTCATAGTGGTCGTACTACAATAGGCGAAGAGTGTCTAATTGTAATCATTCCATGTAAACATTTCTGTTTCACCCTTGTGCGTATTGTGTGAATAGTCTGGCTGTCTTACGTGGTCATGATAACTTACAGACAGGTTTAGTAAACAATTTAAATCACATTAGTCTCATGTTACCACACATAAAGTTTAAATCATCTGGCTAAAACGGTATTCAAATTTTTATCCCAATGCAATATTTTCCCTGAAGAATGCCACTGTAAGATTGTTAACTGTAAACATGATTTTTTTTCTTTTTAAAAGCTGAGGAACAAGTCAGAATTATGTTTTGCCATAGGCGACAACCTCAGATGCTGTTGAGAGAGCTAAACTTGCACTGAATCCAGAACATTCCTGTTCTTAAAATAAAAAAAAAGAACAAACAACGTTGGCTGTTTGTCATTTTAGGTTTCTACCTCATTTGTAGAATAACTATAGACCTCTGGAGTCCTCCACATTGATTATCATACAGGTATGGAGATTCAGGTTGGTTTTCAGTGCACTGCATTATTTTGAGTGGCTCATCTGTAGATTGTTTTGGATAGTTTGCCACCATCATAGAAAACCTGTACTGCACCACTGAACTTGGAATGAACTTGGCAGGCAGCCAGTGTGGGCGACCTTATACGAACAGTGCTAAGACTGCAAATATCAGAGAGAGGGGACACTATAGTAGGACAGGGCCCATAACAGGAATTTTAGCTTTCTTATGGACACAATTTTACAGATGTCATAGGCGTGTCCTCATTATAGTAGATTTCAACTAGATTTTTAGGTTTTCTTTTAGTGGTGTCTGCACATGTAAAGCTCAATGCCACAGAGGTATAATGTTGTTAAATGGGTGAGTGCATTGATATATGGTTGCTAACATATTCTGGGTGGTTGTTAGGGCACTGTTACGTAGTTGCTTATTGGTCAAAAGGGGGCCCAGTCTCAAGTCTATGAGATACCTGCACTGATTTTATCATCCAGCAGGTAAAAAAATATCAGCAACAGTGAGCTAAATGAAGCTAAATGAAGTTAAATGAAGTTCAGGACGAAGCTAAATGAAGTTCAGTTGCATTCCTTATTGCTGTTCATCTCACTATAATGTCTCGCACTATATTGTGGCTCTGAAACACTTTTGGCATTTCATAACCTCAGTTGGGTCACAATGACCCATGCTTGCCATAACTGCCCCCAGATTGAATGGCCAACAATCCTGTACAACCAGGAAAAGTTCCAAACTCAAAATTCCATTCCAGGCTTCTTGCATAATGTTTCTGAAATGTAAACGACTTATTTTTCCTGGCGTTTTACCAAAGGCTATAGTGTTACCACAAGGTCACACTACAGCAAACCTCTACAATGCGAGTAAATCACTCGCATATGCGACTAAATCTTACTCTGGGCGACTAAATAATGTCTAACATTAGCCATTGGCTAATAAATTCTTAGATTTTACACGCCAGTATGTGTGCGAGAGGCGTTCAACACAAATTTTCACTCGATAAACACGCTGACTGAGCGCTTGAGAGTTTCGCTCTCCGTCAAGCGATCTGTACTATTTGGATGTGCTCAATGGATCATGTCATGTACTCAATGGATGCGCAGTATGTAGCACGCTGCGCACCTGTATTTGACGTACCGTAAACTAGTGTGAAGGCGCACGACTTGCCGTGGCTTTACTGATAGCGCTGTGTTTCTCACACATGCAAAGAGAGAGAGCGAGAGTCTTGCATACCACACTGAATCGACGCGCTACATGTAAACCATATTCTTTGTTGTATTTTCCTGTCAAAATAACAGAGCTCATTTAGAATTATTCAACTTTTAAGAACAAGCAGAAGATATGCCGGTTACTCGGCAGTGGGCGGAGCTAATGCGCGAACAGTTCTCGTTACCGTCCCCGTTTTGATTTCAGTTCAGTTCAGTTGCAAATCAGTTTGAGCGAACGCTGACAACGTGATTTAATATTCATGAACCCAGCAGATGATAGTAGTAGTAGTAGTAGTAGTAGTAGTAGTAGTATCTTTTAATAATAATTACTATTACCTATGACCAAACTGACAAAATCGGCAAAAAACTCAATTTGTGGATGTCCTCATTTGTAAAACTGTTATAAAAATAAAGTAAACAAAGTTTTTTTTTTACTTTTGAAATTGTAAAAATTCAGAAAGTTTTCTGTGAGGGGTAGGGGTGGGTTTAGGTTAAAAAGTGTATAACTATCTGTATATAAAAACAATAGAAGTCTATGTAATGTCCCCATTTAGATAGCTAAGTAAACGTGTGTGTGTGTGTGTGTGTGTGTGTAAAATAGTATATCAGTCTGACGAGTAAACAAAAAAATGTACTGGCCAATGGCGATTATATTGCCAAGGTGTGCATAGAGGGTTGCACTACAGTAATCCCTTCATACACTGACAGACAGGCAAAATTGCTTACACATATATTTTGGTCATAGTTCATGCAGCAACAGATATCACTGTATTATAGTGGTAATGGTTCAATAATTAACAGTCCAAATAAAGCAACTGCTTTGACAGGATTAGATACCAGGATTAGATAGTTAAGATAGCATAGTAGAACAGGATGTTGTGCTGTGTGTGTGTGTGTGTGTGTATCTTATTGACCTATATGTGACAGGAATGTTACCTCATGGCGTTCTTCAGCAGCTCAGGCAGAATATAGTCCAGAGGCAGTGGAATGAAGGGAAAGCGGGCCGCCACATGGCCATTAATGCGAACCCGTGGAGAATTCCCATACTGATGCTCACATAGTCGTCTGAGGAGAACAGAGGGGATCAAGACATTTACATTACCATTCAAGTCTGGACAGACTTATTAATTCTTTACTATCATTCAAACAAATAACAAATGACAGTCTTGTAAAGAAATCTGGCAAACTTTATTTCCAGATTTCACATATTTAAGCATAAGCCTTAAGATTAAAATGTTTTTAGGATCATGAGAAAATAAAATTAATTGTATTTAAATAATTGGTATTATACATAAAAATAACAAATGCAAAATTGCATACAGAGAAAATAAGTTACATGCTACTGGTTCTGCCTCACCAGGTTATGCAAGTGCTGGTAAATGCCTGGATTGCGGTCCTGAGCATTTAATTTAGTTTAAAGCCAGTTTTTAAATAATTTGACACCAATTAATGAGAACATCTCATTCAGAGCCAGCAAAATGTGGCCTCGGTCTGGTCTTTGAGGGAGCGCTTTGATCATGCCACTGTGAAGAGGAACAGGGCAGCTCTGCTGGTGCAGCATATTAATGGTCAAACTCTCATGAGACGAGCAGGAGCAGTGCAGCCTGACCTCTATTCTTACATAAGACCACAGAGAACATTTTTTAGGACTGCAACAACTAATCGATAATGAATACAGATAATTATTTCAAATAAATCCACATTAAAGCCACTTAAAACCAAAACAAACTATTACTGGGCAGAATATGCTGCAAACTGGACCAGACTTTAGGTTGAAAGTCAGCTTAGTATAGATGAGGAAAAACTGATGTTAGATCAGAATGAGAACACAGAGATACTCTGTCCATCTGCAGGATGGACGAATGAGTGACTGATTGGAAAAAGTGAAGTAAAATAAGAGTGATGGCGCAGGCGTAAGAGGCTTTAGCAACTGCACATTCATCAAGGGCCCAGGCATTGTGACCTGATTCTTTTCAACAAAGAAATAAACAGGAGGAATGTCTCTAACATTTTAGCTAAAGCCTCTCAACCAGCTGACAAGGAGACAAACTGAAAGTAAATAACTAAGACAAAAGAAGAAAACATGAATAAAATAAAAACACACCTTACTGTGTTCTGACTAAATGCAGTTGCTATGAAATCTGTTCAGGCAATTATTTCTCTTAAACAAAATCAAATAAAAAGAGAGTTGTGGTGACTTCCTCTTGTTCATTTCTTAGGTCATTCAGATAATTTTGCTTGAGATGATTTATGAGGCAGAATTTAAAACATGCATGACATAAATTGATAAACATCATATTTAGGAAATGTCCATGGGCAGCAATGTTTTTTTTTGTTTTGTTTAAATTTTTTTTAAATTAATGTCAATGTTAATGTCAATTAATGCGAATGTCAGAATTAATATATATAATTATGGCACTATAAATTCATAACAGTAGCAAACATTTTAAGAAATGTTTACATGTCCATCATTCACTGCAAATCATTCCTGGACTGTTGACACATTAAACTCATGTAGAAGAAGTAAATACATGTTTTGCTCCCACACAGAAAATGTTAGACAGTAGTTCAACAGTGACCTTTAACACTCATCTTGGTAAATCACAAATGAGAACTGGGCTTTGACGTTGCACTTAACTTGACATAAATTTGTGACTACCAAAAAAAAAAAGTTTCTGAAATGGATGGTCAGGAAAATACATTTCAGACAGTAGAGATGAATCTCCTTCAATATACCATTTACAAAGCATTCAAAAATGCAGCATCGCCATCGTAGGCATAAGTTACATTTTAAAATAAATGAAATAGAACACAGTTACTTTAAATGTCTTGGTGAGCATAGGAGACACCTTTCAAAAACATTTTTACAAAATCTTACACTTTTGTAGTGTACATCTGTGTTCTTTCATAGCTTGGATGACTTTGCTTTTTCCCACAATTAAGAGTAACAGTAAAGGTAACAGAATGAGAATGTGTGGGCCAAAATCTGGACTCATAATGTCAGTCGCATAACATTGGTTAATGGAAACGCCGTAATTTCGCAATACTTTTTTATCGACATTTATACAATATCGCCAAAGTTTTGCGCAAATCTGTAATGGAAACGCGCCTAGTGCCGAGTATTGTTTAGTGCATATCACTCACCTAGCGATAGCTACTCTACGGAGCCATTTCTAGTTCTCATTGTTTATTCATAGTCTTGTCTTGCCTGCTTCCCCGTGTTACCTGATTATTGCCTGTTTCTCTTGGATTAACCCTTTGCCTGCTATTTCGGACTGTGTTTGCACCTCGCTTGGACTTTAGCTTGTGTTATTGGATAACCCCTCGTGTCAAGCCCTCTGGATATTGTTAGCCTCTGATCGACCACGCCCGTTTTGGATTACTCTTCTGTCTTGCCCTTAATATACCTGTTTGCCATTGTCTGACCCATGCCTGTTTCATGACCACACCCTTTAATAAAGCCTTGCAGATGGATCCGCATGTCTCACGTCTCTTGTTCGCCCCGTAACAAACGTAATGTATTAAAATGTAAATTTAAAAAAATCTTAATTTTCACATAATCCTTCAGAAATCATTCTAATATGCTGATTTGGTGCTCACAAAACATTTGAATTTTAAAAGTGTGGAAACCTTGATACATTTGGATTTGAAATCTTTTGTAACATTATAAATATCTTTACTGTTTCTTTTGGTTAATTTCATGTATACTTGCTGAATAAGGGTATTACTGACCCCAAACAGAATGGTAGAGTAGGTTAAGAAGACATTTGACTTAAAGATGTTAAGATACATTTACCAAAAAAAAAAAAAAAGAAAGATGAATAAACTGATTTTTGCAGTGCAGTATTTAGTTTTAAGACTGCAGACTCAATTGCTCTGAATACCTCTGAACTCAACTGGTGAGTTCTACTTCCTCACAGAAAGCAAAACAAGTTATAGACGAGACTCTCTTCTGAGGCAGATGTGGGTAAAAGTTCACAGGAGGAGGAGGACTCACTAAAGGAAGTAAACAAGGAGGAGAAAGGGGAGGGAACCTGTTTTCTCTTTCTGCTTATTACTTGGTGATTGTCTGTTTGCTTTGTCTGCTTGTGGACCATGAAAGTGAGAATTGCTTGTGATGGTTATTGTTATTTATGTTTTTGTGTTGTACAGATGAACAGCTCAATGAGTCCAGGACATCGTGACATGCAATGTGGTCCAAAAGACCTTTAATTTACACCTGGAAATATTCTCAAATCATGCTGATGAACATGATCATCAGCTTTTACACAAATATGTGAAGTTCATGCAGCTCATGAAAGAAAAAAAAGCCTTTTCATTTGCGTATCTGATTTTTGGACCCCAATTTTTGAAGTAATACAAATAAAGCAAGATCTTATTTGTAGTTTTCACTATAAACAGCAGGAGTACAACAGCTTGTTCAACAAGCCAAGTTTTCAGTCAACATGAAGTACAGCACCAAAGAAATAACAAAACTGTTAAGCATGGTAACATGAATTAAAATGGACATGGTTTCAGAAAAATGATCATATACCAGTCAACCTCAAATCACTTTCTTAAGAGTGCAAGAGACTGTTAAAAAATGTGGGGTTTTTATTTTTATTGAAAAAAGTAGGCTGCATTTATTAGACCAAACATACAGTAAAAAAAATAATTATTGTGAAATATTATTACAATTTAAAATAACTGTTTTTATTTAATATACATTCAAATGTAATTTTTGTGATGACAAAGCTGAATATTCAGTATTGTCCTCAGTGTCACATGATCCTTTATCAGTCTAATCAATCTAAAATGCAGATTTGGTGCTCAAGAAACAACAGTATTAATTATCCTTATTATTAATCACAGTTGAAAATAGTTGTGCTGCTTAATATTTCTGTGGAAAGTGAACTTTCTATTGATTGAAGAATCCTGTTTTTGTTTTTTAGGATTCTTTGATTAATAGAAAGTTCAAAAGAACAGCATTTCTGTGAAATATACATATTTTGTAACACTATTTGGGTGCCTTCACACCTGTAGATCGATTGCTTTGTTCCGAAACAAGGATTAAAATTATTACAACGTTGCTTTTTATTCTTGGTGCGGTTCGCTTTCACACGGCAAAGTTTCTAAATGGACCAAATTTGTTAATACAAGTCATGCGCGAGTAAACTGTTCCCTCATTGGTCAAAGTTCCATGGTTTATTTTCCGGGATTCCACTTAGCTGTCACGGCTGTCATCCGTCAGGATGGAATGACAACAGCTTTTTTTTTTGCAGCTGTCCTTCTATTAATTTACTATTTTGAGCATAAGTCCAGGATTCATCGGGAAAACATTTTTAAAATGCACCTACTACAAAGAAGAGCAATAAGACGGCACTATAAAATGAAAAAGTACGCTTTTTTATTTTGAATGGCGAAGACGTGCTCTCCCACAGACATTCACAGGTTCATTTTGAAGTATTAGCAAAACAACAAAGCTAATGCTTTTCACGGACCTTATGTAATTATCCATTATACATTGTGATATAGCCTGGTTCATTGGTCCGTTAGATCGGATTGCTTTCTCACTACAGCCGAACCGCTCCAGAGTTCGTTTTCAATCGAGCCGAGACCACCTCGATTCAGGCGATCTCGGACCGATTTATTTGGCGCGGATCCGGGCGCGATTGCCGTGTTCACATATGCCCAAACGAACCGAGCTAAGGAGGGAAATGCGCCAGGTTCCAAAACAACAGGCCAGGTGTGAAAGCACCCTTTAAATGTTTTACTATCATTTTTGATCAATTTGATGCATTCTTGCTGAATAAACATTTTAATTTCCTAAAAAAATTTATGAATGAATTATGAAGTACTGACACCAAACTTGAACATTAGTCTAATTTTATGAACTAAGAATAGAGAAGGTAAGTAGTTTTTTTCTGCACTAAATAAAACCCATGCATGCATTGATAAAGCACTTTTTTCTGTCCATCAAAATCAATACCAGGACTCAAGCTAAGTCAAGTTCAGCAAGACGTCACTGCAGAACGCTAGGTGTCTGATAACACTGGCATTGAATCGAACATGGTCGATTCAGTTCTCTGTCGGAACACTATTGGCGCTTTTCCACTGCGTGGTACGACTCGGCTCGGTTTGCGTTTCCACTGCAGTTCAGTACCGCTTTAGAGTGGGCGGGATTATTCACATGTCGTTAAAGTTGCGCCGCCTCTACTACCACGACTTCTAAAAAAAAAAAAAAACCTATTAATTCCGCATCACCCCATCAAGCTCTCACTGGATCCGTTCCTCTGCTATCAACGAGAGGAACGTCTGTTCTTCCGCAACAGACCTCGGCACGGTTTGCGTTTCCACTGCAGTTCAGTACCGCTTTAGAGTGGGCGGGATTATTCACATGTCGTTATAGTTGCGCCGCCTCTACTACCACGACTTCTAAAAAAAAAAAAAAAACTATTCATTCCGCATCACCCCATCAAGCTCTCGCTGGATCCGTTTCTCTGCTATCAACGAGAGGAACGTCTGTTCTTCCGCAACAGACAACAAAACTTTTTGGTTGATAAAAAAAAGGTGCGCTCGTTCAAAACAGTTGCGTTCGATCCTTCGCTGGCTGTGCTGATTTAAATCTAGCGGTTCTTTTGTGTTTGTGTCGCAAGTTCAGTGACGCAGGTAGTGACGATTCTCTCCGGCCAATCCGTGATCAGCAGGGTTTACACGTCACGTTTCGGTAACGGTACGGTTCACTTGGAACCCCAAACCGAGATGGTACTAAAAAAAGTACTAGGTACCAGGTACTGTACCCAGTGGAAAACCCCCCAAAAGTGAACCGTACCGAGCCGTACCATGCAGTGGAAAAGCGCCTTATGTCAAACTGATCAGGCCCCAGATCCTCATCACCTAATATCCCCTCTCAGAGTATCAAGGGTGGCGCTTCTCCAGCAAACTAACTTGTACGGGAGACGATAACACTACTCGTCACAACAATGTATGATAACAGAGAAATCCTGCAGAGGTGTAGGGGAACTCACCACTTGGAGAATGGTTGGGTTGCAGCCGATAATGAAGGGCAGGCTGCGAAAACCCTTAATGCGATGGGCGATACGTACAGGCAGCTCTTTGTGTAGATACCTGGCACTGCTCTGCATTTAATCAAATCATACACAGCTTCATTAGAACTCAGTATATTAACTCTCATAATAAACAGAAAAACATTTCTGGCATAGCGTAAATCAACATAAAGGTGCAATACAGACACAAAGCACGGTTTGTGTGCTGACAAATGGCTGAAACAACTACTTTTTAGAAGCCCGGCACCAATGTGTGTTGGGATAAATGTAGAACAAAGGACAGGAGTGTGTAATTACCAGGATATGTTGTCCATCCGGAGACTTCCCTGCATACAGCATAGTGGCTGGTGTCAGTCTGACAGAAGGCTGTGAAGAGAACATCGCTGTTAAAAATAGAATATACTTGAATTATAACTGTGTTTGATTTGATGTTGTATGTGCTGAGAGACCTTTATGAATAACTATATGTCGGTCTTAGTAAATTCACTCACTTGAATTGTCTATGAATCAAGGTTTCAGCCTGTTTTGGAAAAGTTCAAAAAGTCCATTCCATTTTGTTTTATAACATATGACTACATCTATATCCTATAAATGTGATTATCCATGGAGTGAATCATGGGTAAAGTTACACTTATTAATAGGCCTATGCATAAGTGAATGGAGTGCATGTCAGTTGAGTAGCAAAGGACAAATCTATATTTAATATTTTCAATTCCCAACGTTAACAATGCAAAACGCCATTGGTTCTTGTGTGTTTTAATCACATGGAAGAATTAATGAGACTTCAATGAATAACTGCTTAAATGTCCTTCCTTTTCTCACATAAAACTATGATATGGCTTCAGAAGACTAGGAATACAATGCATGCACGTGTTGTACACTATCTGCTACATGCCTTTTGACCTCTAACTATTTGTTTATACTTTTTAGTAAAGAAAAAGCCTTTTAGTACAATTCTAAAAATGTCCACAATTAAAACTACAGAGCTTTGATCATAAAACTAAGCATTTAAATAGCATCTTGCAATGACATATCATTTGGAGATATAGAGTGACAACCAATGTATTTTATGCAAGTAGTTTGCTACACTGCTATAAAAATATCGCTGAACTACAAATGATCAGAATTTCATCTTTATAATACCTGCACCAATTTGCATGTTTTTGCTCTGAAATATGATACAAACCATGAAACCTCATAAACATATGCAAAGTTTTGTTTTAGATTTTTTTTTAAGTATTGTCTTAAAAACCCAATAAACACTTTAATAGGAAAAAAAAGATTTGTATGACTACTATTTCATATGTCAGGATTTACAGGGTTGAGGTTTCATGAGGGTGAGCAAATGACAGAATCTCCATTGCCAAGTAAACCACTCCTTTTAATTTATTAAATTATGGAAATGTTCATAATGAACCGATAATTAAAAAAAGGAGCAGTGGCAGAGCGGTAATCACATTGGGTTTTGTTGAGTCACTAACACAGTCCCAGTGAGATGCTCAAAGTAGGACAGATTACATAAAGACCCCGTGTACACCAGTATAATACTATTAAGAATAATTTTGCTCTGAAATATGATACAAACCATGAAACCTCATAAACATATGCAAAGTTTTGTTTTAGATTTTTTTTTAAGTATTGTCTTAAAAACCCAATAAACACTTTAATAGGAAAAAAAAGATTTGTATGACTACTATTTCATATGTCAGGATTTACAGGGTTGAGGTTTCATGAGGGTGAGCAAATGACAGAATCTCCATTGCCAAGTAAACCACTCCTTTTAATTTATTAAATTATGGAAATGTTCATAATGAACCGATAATTAAAAAAAGGAGCAGTAATCACATTGGGTTTTGTTGAGTCACTAACACAGTCCCAGTGAGATGCTCAAAGTAGGACAGATTATATAAAGATACCGTGTACACCAGTATAATACTATTAAGAATAATTTCGCTTAAAAGACAACAAAGTAACTTTCCAGTTAGTGTGCACCGATGTCATACATCCACTAGCTTGGTGACTCACAAAATGAAGTTTGATACTTTATTAAATGACATTCATTTTGAAAAGTTAAATTAATTTGGGGGCCACTGTATTCGGTTTTAGGTTTTGTCATAGAGATTATTAGCAGCTGAAGAGCTAAATGGCATTTCACGGATGACTACAACAATCTTATTTGTGGCAGTAAATATGAACTTACCCTTTGGACCAATGAGATGAAACATTTGAGACTAGTTAACGCAAACTAGAACTAGAAGTGTAGTTAAGGCTCGTGGTCAGTGTCATGACAGCACGAGTAACCCACAAAAGTGGGATCACTAGGCCATCCAAATCATGGATGGAGACCACAGCATATCGGCCTCCGCGGAAACTTATCGGGAAATGGTGACTGACCTTCTCGGCTGATGCGTCGATGGCAGACTGGTTGTAAAAAGACGTAACGGTTTTGGACCGCTCGCGAGCCAGCTCAGTGTGACTGGACATGGACGATGTGGACCGAAACCTTTTGTCGATGCCATGCAGTGTTGCTCCGGTCGAGTGCGGAGCGGCTGCTTTGGCTGATGTGGAGAGAAAGAGCCTGGTCACGCTGATCCTGGAGGCTCCGCTGCCCAGCAGCTCCACGGCCTGGACTGTCACACGGCCGCGCATTTTACACTTTGACAACGCAAAAAGAAAAAAAAGGTCAATACCTTGTCTTTAGATTAAAGATCCGTCTACCTCGCATCCAATACAGCGAATTAACTCGTGCACGAAGGCACCTCCGCATCGCTAGATGTGAACGCGTTTCTTCTGGTGTTTATCTAAAGACCCTTGCGATCCGCCAATCAGCGGTCAGAGGAGGCGGGGCTGTTGGGTCTCTCGACCTCAGCAGCACCGGAAAGCCAATGAGTCACGTCCCAGCAAGGACAAAGACCGACAGACTGTCACAGCACAGCCGGCACTGGGGACGGGGTGTACTTCCTTTGACACCACATACATGCAAAGATTGTGTTCTAAAATGTACTGTGTTGAAAGAGAAAGGTTAAGCTATTTTATATATTATGCTCTGTATGTTCATGTAGATATAAATTCAAGTTTCTGTTCAAATGATCGACACCCATTACCAAGAAGGGGGTCAAATGTAAAACGTTTTACATAAGGCGATAGTACTCCCAAAAATTACATTATTTTCTTCTTTTACTCAGTCAGGTTGTTCTAAACCGTGCATATTTATGTATCTCTTCAATTGAATGCTAATGAAACATCTCAGTCACCATTTGCTTTTGTTGTATAGAAAAATATGCAATGAAAGTGAATGGTGACCGAGGCGGTCAGTTCCTGTCATTCTGTTTAACATCTCTATTTGTGTTACACTAAAGAATGTAAGGCTTGGAACAACATGATGGTGGGTAATTTTGGAGGGAGAATGATCCCTTCCAGTTGTCCATAAGGGGAAATGAGAACGATGTAAGAAAAACCGATACTAGCCTACTAATTAAAATGAAAAGAAGGCATCTAAATCATATGACTATAGAAACAGCACTTCTAAAGAATGTAGTCCAGTGACACAATTTGCCCCACATAATGTCAAGGGTTACGTTGAATCATTAGGGTATAAGTGAACTAAAAATACACAATCTCATTCCAAACTCTAATTTTGCTGTACTTGTTCACAGTTCCATTTACTTGCATTATATGAACTCACAGAGATCATTTAATCATTTAATACTCAGATATTTAAACACAGCGAAGAAAAATCAACATTTTGTAATAGTATTTGTATTATATTAAAAAATAAATAAATAAACAAACCACATCTTTCAATCACAGGCAGTAGCATATAATGATTTTTTTTTTCTAAATGTGACAAATTATGCTAGATTAAGAAATAACCAATATCTGATGTATTTCAGGGTGAGACAGAATAAGATTAGAGAGTTTCTATGAGATACGATCACGACTGGTCACAGGAGACTCGTAAGATGTTTGTTAATACCAATAGAAACCAGAAAGACTGCAGTTATGAATTTCTTTGGATTTTATTTTATTTACTGATTCCTTAGATTCAAATTACAGTTGGAATTCTGCATTTTGTTTTAATTCATACTCTAAAATTGAATTAGAATTCAAAAGACATTCTTAATTCAATTGTGAATGGGCACACAACTCTGCTGGGCTGAGTTTTATCAGGTTATAGAAACAAAATAACCATAATATAATGTAGCACACTTGAACAAAATGAACTCGTCATTAATGCAAAAGCTGGATGAACTAGGCTTTTCATTTCACAGCTCAGAATGTGTAACAAAAGCTTATGAAAATGCACAATTAAAATAACAAAGACATTGATGAAACTCAAAATGTATTTATTTGCACTATTCCTTGACAAAAAAGGAGAATTATCTTGTTCTGATGTGAGCCAAAGATGATGCAAGAAAATTCAAAATAAAAAAATACAGATAAATGAAAAAAGCACAAAAATATGAGGAGATGAAGCGAATAGGCAAATATTGAGGCAAAGGGGATGCAAGCAACTTCAAAGATGCCTTTATATCCCTCTGGCTCTGCTGGTGTCCTTCATCTCTACGGCTCCAACATGAGAGGGAGAACTATCTCGCTCCTATGTGAGCCAAATATACATGCAATATAATCCAAAACACAAGAACGAGATGATGGTTCGTTGATTCCTTCTGGCTCTGCTCTTGCTCGGGTCTCTCAGCTCTGCCTTGGTCTGTCGTCTTCATGGTTCCAACATGGAGTTAGGGGCCTTTGGCTCTACCTGGACGCGAACGCGCAAGTATAAAGCACCGATGACACAAACATAAGAGGGAGAACTATTTGAGTCAAATATGCCAAAGTAAGAAAATGCACATGAACAAGATGAGACAATAGCTTGTTGATCTCTCTGTCTCTGCTGGGGCCCTTCGTCTCTACCGTTCCACCTTGGTTTTTTGTCCCTTTGGCTCCAATATGGACTTCTGGGCCTTTGGCTGCATCTGGACATGAGAGGGAGAACAATCTCGTGCCGATGTGAGCAAAAGATGATGCAAGAAAATTCCAAATAACAAAATGCACGAGACGCTAAAGAGCAGGAAAATATTAGATGACGCCTCTACGGCTCCAACATGAGAGGGAGAACTATCTCGCTCCTATGTGAGCCAAATATACATGCAATATAATCCAAAACACAAGAACGAGATGATGGTTCGTTGATTCCTTCTGGCTCTGCTCTTGCTCGGGTCTCTCAGCTCTGCCTTGGTCTGTCGTCTTCATGGTTCCAACATGGAGCTAGGGGCCTTTGGCTCTACCTGGACGCGAACGCGCAAGTATAAAGCACCGATGACACAAACATAAGAGGGAGAACTATTTGAGTCAAATATGCCAAAGTAAGAAAATGCACATGAACAAGATGAGACAATAGCTTGTTGATCTCTCTGTCTCTGCTGGGGCCCTTCGTCTCTACCGTTCCACCTTGGTTTGTTGTCCCTTTGGCTCCAATATGGACTTCTGGGCCTTTGGCTGCATCTGGACATGAGAGGGAGAACAATCTCGTGCCGATGTGAGCAAAAGATGATGCAAGAAAATTCCAAATAACAAAATGCACGAGACGCTAAAGAGCAGGAAAATATTAGATGAATACACAATTATAAGATTCAAACATGATTGGGAAAAATATCTCACCCTGATGTAAGCCAAAGATGCTTCCTATCAAAATAGGAAAATGCACATGAAGAAGATGCTGAAAAGTATAAACGCAAGTATGAACATGAATCATCTGATATGAGCCAAAGATGATGTGAGAAAATTCAAAATAAAAAACTGCTTGAAGGAGACGCTGATGAGGAGATGCTGAATATTAGGAGATGACACGATTCGCGAATACGCAAGACTCAAACATGAGAGGGAGAAATATCTCAACTTGATGTGAGCCAAAAATGATGCTTGCTTGATTATGCTTGATTATCTTTTCAACCAAGCCAAACGTTCACATTTGTGTCACAGATATGATATAACATTCAACATAATCACATCAACAGCTTTACAGTGCCTTTATACCCCTGTGAGCAAGCCAAAGGCGACAGTGGCAAGGAAAAACTTCCTTTGGTACAACAAGTAGTACACATAGAAAGAAACCTTGAGAGGAACCAAGACTCAGCAGGGGGGCCCATCCTCCTCTGGCCGGCACATTTAAAAACGTAAAATAAAATTATAAAATGCCAATATGCAAGTATAAGGCAACGATGATTCAAACATGAGAGGGAGAACTATCTCGCACCTATGTGAGTCAAATACACACACAAAATAATCCAAAATAAGAAAATGCACATGAGAGACGATGGTTCGTGGATCCCTCAGCGCTGCTGGGGTTCCTCGTCTCTACGGCTCCGCCATGGTCTGTCGTCCCCTTGGCTCCAACATGGACTTCTGGGCCTTTGGCACTTCTGGGACTTCTGGGCCCTCCAACACTTTGGCTCCACTGGGGTCCTCCAAAACATGAGGAGATGACGCGAACATGCACTGATAACTCATAAACATTAAAGGGAGAACAATATCGTGCCGATGTGAGCAATAGATGACACAAGAAAAATTCAAAATAGGAATATGCACATGAACGAGACGATGAAGACAAGAAATGCAAGGAGATGTAGCGAACACGCAAGCATGAAGCACATATGAATTAAATATAAAAGATGGCTTGTCGATCCCTCTGGCTCTGCTGGCGTCATTCGTCTCTACGGCTCTGCCTTGGTCTGTCGTCCCCTTCGCTCCAACATGGACTTCTGGGTCTTTGGCCGCGTCTGGACCCTCCAACACTTTGGCTCATCCATAGTATGAAGAGATCACATGAACGCACATTTATAAAACACTAACTCACACGAAGAACAATCTTTTTCGCCAAAAAATGCTTGATTATCTTTTCAACTAAGCCAAATGTTCGCATTTGTGTCACAGATATGATATAACATGCAGCAAAACATGTAATCAAACATCAGCAGCTTTACAGTGCCTTTATACCCCCATGAGCAAGCAAAAGACGACAGCGGCAAGGAAAAACGTCCTATGGTACAACAAGTAGAACACATAGAAAGAAACCTTGTCAACAAGGTCAAAAGAAACAGGTGTCAATACCAGGACTTACCTGTACTCCCAAAAGTAGTTACCCAGGCAGGACTGTCCCTATGGGTCGTTTCACTATCGCTTCATACAACCAATGTGACAGTTCTGTGCACAGGTGATCTTTGGAAATGACTGAATCATACTTTTCAGTGTATGAATGGTTCTCCAACAATGACTCTGAAGATCCTACAGATGGTTGTTCTGTCAGGGATACTTGTGCTGAGAACAGCCACACATTGAACATATTACATCAGCCAAGTAAAGTCTGTGAAATGTATTCTAAAAAATACATGAAACAAAGTTTTTAAAGGTTGCTTCTTACACTAACACTTTTGATTTTTCTTAAAAAGACACCACTTATAAATGATTTTTGTGGCTTATATCCAGAGGTTTGTCAAAAGTAAAAAGGTGAAGTGTTCTGAACTATTTTTCTTCTGGTCAGACCTCTGAAGTCGGCAGGAAAACAAATACAACCTGAGAATGTAGCTTAGCCACTATCCCCCGACAACTGTGATACTCAACTAGATTAACATGTTAATTGTTGTTTTTTTTACCCATTTTCTTATGGCAGCAGCGTGACCACTCCAAATAAAAACAGTATCATTTCCAATATGCAAACGAACCATAAACGAGATATACAATTTTTAGATGAACTATTTTCATACTTTTACACTGACAGGTGAACCGCACGGCAGCGGTCAACAAATACTCATAGCGCATGCACTATAGCGTCACAAAGCGGGAGCCGCATTTAGAATGCATAATCTGAACCCGATTTGCATAAATAATAATAATAATAAAAAACAGTGCACATTTAAAAAGTAAACCCATCTTTCTTGTTTGTAAGTTAAATTTATGTTAC